CCCCCCCCCGCCCACCCCGTGCAGCCTCCCCTGGAGAGCCTGGCCACCGTGGAGGAGACGGTGGTCCGGGACAAAGCCGTGGAGTCCCTGCGGGCCGTGTCCCACGAGCACTCGCCCCCGGACCTCGAGGGCCACTTCGTGCCGCTGGTCAAACGCCTGGCGGGCGGCGACTGGTTCACGTCACGCACGTCGGCCTGCGGCCTCTTCAGCGTCTGCTACCCGCGGGTGTCCAGCCCTGTGAAGGCTGAGCTGCGCCAGTGAGTGGCTACCGAGGGAGCCGGGGTGGCCACTGAAGGGTTGGGGTGGTCACAGGGGCGTTGGGGTGGTCACAGGGTCAGTGGGATGGGTGGGGATTTGGTTCGCGTCACGCGCGTCGGCCCTGCGGCTTCTTCGGGGTCTGCGACCCGCGGGTGTCCAGCCCTGTGAGTGGCTACTGAGGGGGCTGGGGTGGCCACTGGGGGGTTGGGGTGGGTGTAGGGTCAGTGAGGTGGCCACAGGGTCACTGGGATGGCTACTGGGGCGTTGGGGTGGGTGTGAGGTCAGTGAGTGGTCACTGGGGTCATTGAGGTGGCCACGGGGTCATTGAGGTGGCCACAGGGTCAGTGAGGTGGCCACGGGGTCATTGAGGTGGCCACGGGGTCATTGAGGTGGCCACAAGGTCATTGAGGTGGCCACAGGGTCATTGAGGTGGGTGTGGGGTCAGTGAGTGACCACAGGGTCACACCAAACCATCCCAGGTGTGCTCAGGTGACTCTGAGTAGTACCCAGGTAGTGCTCAGGTGATTCCAGGTGTGCTCAGGTGACCCCAGGTAGTGCTCAGGTGACCCCGGGCTTTGCTCAGGCGCCCTCAGGTGATCCCAGGTAGTGCTCACATGACCCTGGGCAGTACCCAGGTGTGCTCAGGTGACCCCAGGTAGTGCCCAGGTGACCCCGGGCCTTGCTCAGGTGCCACCAGGTGATCCTGGGTAGTGCCCAGGTGCACCCAGGTGACCCCGGGCAGTACCCAGGTGGTACCCAGGTGCGCCCAGGTGACCCTGGGCAGTACCCAGGTGGTACCCAGGTGCGCCCAGGTAACTCAGGTGTGCCCGCAGGTACTTCCGGAACCTGTGCTCGGACGACACGCCCATGGTGCGGCGCGCGGCCGCCTCCAAGCTGGGCGAGTTCGCCAAGGTGCTGGAGCTGGAGCACGTCAAGAGCGAGATCATCCCCATGTTCTCCAACCTGGCCTCGGACGAGCAGGTACGGCACACCTGGGCACACCTGGGTACACCTGGGGGGCACCTGGGTGCACCCTGATGTATCTGTGGGGAGCTGGGGAGCACCTGGTGGGAGCTGGGGGGTACCTGGGCATATCTGGGGATTACCTGGGTGTACCTGAGGGTCACCTGGGCACACTTGTGGCCACCTGGGGGTTGTTTGGGGCTCACCTGTGCAGGACTTGGGAGTGAAAATATTACCTGAAGGTTACAAGTGAACACTTGAGGGTTATGTGAGGGTTACCTGTGCACACCTGAGGGTTACCTGTGCTCACCTGTGGGCAGGATTCAGCGCAGCTGCTGCCAGTGGAGTTATTCCCATGGGAGCGATGATCTGGGGGTTACCCGTGAATCACTTGGGGGTCACCTGGGGGTTACCTGTGACTCACCTGCGCACACCTGTGCTCACCTGTGCAGGACTCGGTGCGGCTGCTGGCGGTCGAGGCGTGCGTGAGCATCGCGCAGCTGCTGCCGCAGGAGGAGCTCGAGGGGCTGGTGATGCCCACGCTGCGCCAGGCGGCCGAGGACAAGTCCTGGAGGGTGCGCTACATGGTGGCCGACAAGTTCACCGAGGTGGGGACACACCTGGGGTACACCTGGGTACACCTGGGGTACACCTGGATACACCTGGGGTACACCTGGATACACCTGGGGTACACCTGGATACACCTGGGATACAGCTGTGTACACCTGGATACACCTGGGGGCATCCGGCGTACACCTGGATACACCTGGGGTACACGTGGGGGCACCTGGGGTACACCTGGATACACCTGGGGTACAGCTGTGTACACCTGGATACACCTGGGGGCATTTGGGGCACACCTGGATACACCTGGGATACAGCTGTGTACACCTGGGTACATCTGGGATACACCTGGATACACTTGGGATACACCTGGATGCACTTGGGATGCACCTGGGTACACCTGGATACACCTGGGGTACAGCTGTGTACACCTGGATACACCTGGGTGTATCTGGGATACACCTGGATACACCTGGGATACAGCTGTGTATACCTGGATACACCTGGGGGCACCTGGGTACATCTGGGATACACCTGGATACACTTGGGATGCATCTGGATACACCTGGGGTACACCTGGGTACATTTGGCATACACCTGGGTACTCCTGGATACACCTGGGGTACACCTGGATACACCTGGGGTACACCTGGATACACTTGGGGTACACCTGGATACACTTGGGGTACACCTGGGTACATCTGGGATACAGCTGCTTACACCTGTGTACACGTTGGGGCACCTGGATTACACCTGGGATACACCTGGGGGCATCTGGGGCACAGCTGGGGGCACCTGGGGTACACCTGGATGCATCTGGGGTACACCTGGGACACACCTGGGACACACCTGGGGCACACCTGGACACACCTGGGCGCACACCTGGGCACACCTGGGGCACACCTGGACACACCTGGGCCGTGTCCCCGCAGCTCCAGCGCGCCGTGGGCCCCGAGATCACCAAGACCGACCTGGTGGGCGCCTTCCAGAGCCTCATGAAGGACTGCGAGGCCGAGGTGCGCGCGGCCGCCTCGCACAAGGTCAAAGGTCAGTGGCTACCAACCTGTCCTTTGGGCTACCAA